GTGTGTGTGTGTGTGTGTGTGTGTGTGTGTGTGTGTGTGTGTGTGAGTGAGAGAGTGAGTCACCTGGATCCTGCTGAGCATGCTGGGATTGAAGATGTAAATGCCGGCGTTGATCTTGTTGGAGACGAAGACCTGCGGTTTCTCAACAAAGCGGTGTATTCTGCCGCTGTCCGCCTCAAACACCACCACGCCGTATTTAGAGGGCTCCTCCACCCGCGTTACCTTCACACACACATTAACATTATAACGTTATTCTCTGAATGACGAGTGAAACCAAAACAGAATTTAAAACAAAAACTGACCCAAAACTAAAATTAATTTAAGTTTTATTCAAATGTTCTGAAATTAAGTCAAAAAATGTTTTCTCTTGCATCCAAATCTTATCCTAGAATCTAAATGTTTTCTCTTCAGTACAAGAACAATCCACTAGATGGCAGTAAAACATTGATCCACAGTTTCAACTTAAGACTAAATAAATGTCATAAATGAAAACATATTGTGAGAAGCTTCACTGTTAACTGAAGGCGAAAATGACCCCAAAAAATAAATAAATTTAAAAACCCACCACGATGGTTCCCTCTTTGCCGTGGTTGTGGTGAAACTGCAGCAGATCTTTGAACGGAAAATCACAGATGACGTCCGAGTTCAGGACGAAGAACGGCTCGTTGTCGACGTTCAGCAGCTCTCGAGCCAACGCCAGAGGACCCGCTGCACACAAACACACAAAGTCACACACACTATTCCAACCACTGGCTACTTTTTAAATGTACGTTGTTGTGGTGCAGAGTGAGAGAGTTTCCTGTCTGTAGTGAAGAGAAACTCACCCGTTCCCAGAGGCTCATTCTCATGAGACAGAGAGATACGAATCCCAAGCTGAAGAGAAGACAGTGAAACATTCAGAACACCAAAGAACACTCAGAATGTTCATTAACAAGCCGTCAATAATAATCAAAGTCACTAATGATCAACTGATTTATTCATTGATGAATTGATGCATCAATAAACTATAAATCATGACAAACTTTGACTTAAGATTGAATTGGTTAATAAAATTTGTCCAACAGGTTCTTTTTTATTAGACAATATTTTATATCAAAAGTTAAAACGGCTGAAGAAAGGCAAATCTGTGCACATGGATGAAAACAGTTAAGATGTGTTCATGGTAACATTATGGTTTCCCTCTGGCCTTCAAAATAAAACGGGAGAGGGAGAGATTACATCGCTTTATGGTGACGTAACCAGTTATCTAATCTTCACTTTCACTAAATTAAAGCAGCATGGATTCGATTTTTTTGGAGTCTGTCAAAGCATCTGTCTCCATGTAATGTGGTGGCAGCAGAGGTCAAATCTCAAGAGAATAAACATAAACTGTGGATGAGTGTTTTTGGTGATTTGTGTGAATTGACCCTTCTGCTGCTGATGTGCATCACAGCTGGAACCGTGTGTCAGAGCGAGACGGTTTGTGGTACGTACTCTCTCCTCCTGGACTCTCATCTCTCTCTCCAGCAGATCCGACATGTAGCTCACCGCCAGAATCACATGGTCCACTCCGGCCTGTGCACACACAAAGAGAGAGTGAGAGACCTTCAACCTCAGCAGTAAAGTTGGTGTGTTAAATTTAAAAAAGTGGGATCCCATAAACAGGACTCTACTCTGTACCTTGACCAGTGCCTCCACCTGGTGCAGCAGGATGGGTTTGTTGCAGAACTCCACCAGCGGTTTGGGGACGCTCAGCGTGAGCGGTCGCAGCCGGGTCCCGTAACCCCCGACCAGGATCAGAGCCTTCATGCTTGTGGCGTTGGCACCTGTGACACAAATGTAATAGTGATACATGAGAGGCACAAACTGGGGATTTCTCCAGTTATTTATTTTGGTTTTTCCTCTGATCTGTCAACCTTCAAAACATTAAAGAAAAAGTTCATATTTGGGCCTCAGAGGGGCGCTACTGAGAAGATATAAACACTTGTCATATTGCATTCTTGTTTGAGTCATAAGATAAATATTGCATGTTGGAAACTCGTCCAGCCAGATTCAGCCTTTTAACTAAATCCTAACAACTATAACTGTCTATACTGTTGATTACTAAAACGGATTAACACTTCAGAAAGAAATTAACATGTTTATCACTATGTCTCAGAGCTCAAACTGATGTGTTTGAATGTTTTTTGTTTGACCGAAACCCAAAAGATAATACATTTACAGTTATATAAAGCAACAAATCCTAAAATAAGAAGTGTAGTCTGACTAAAGTTAGTTTGCTTATTTCTCAGAGCAGAGTTGTAAAGATTCATTCATAAAGTCTCAACAAGATGATCCCATGAGAGAGAGAAACCATTAATGTATGTATGTATGAAGTCTGGCTCGTGTTCTTTTAGTTTTAGTGAAGTATCAACAAAACAAACAGAATAAAGAGGAGATAAAACGAGGGCGCACAGATTAAAGCAGCTACTGTAGCTACTATATACACAATAATATATACGATAATTTATGAATAAACTGTAAGTATTGTGTAGCTTATGAGCCAAGAGATAAAACAAACTGTGCTCATGTCTCCTGTGATTGTAGCTAACAGCTGTTAGCTTAGTTGAGCTAACGTTAGATACATTACTGAATAAACAGCGTTTAACAACAGGTAGATAGCAGCCAACTGCTGTCTTCAGTCTGTGTGAGAGTGAGTAAAGAGCGTGAAAACTACTTACGTGAGTTTTTGTTAGAGCAAAAGTCTCCAAAGTGATTTCTGAATGACTGAAACTGTGGGAATGACACGTAAGATCGTTTAAATCCGAATTCTCTTGTTTCGCTTCCTGTCAAGCGGATCAAGCGTCAAGTGAGATAGCGGGACACGTCAAACATCCGGTAAATGGTTTCAAAATAAAAGTACTATGTTTAGTTAGTCGTTTTGAACCAATTTCTTAATCGAGAGACATATTGCAATGTGAGGCACTGTTTTTATTTTGGCTTTGACAAAAGATTTTCAAGTTGGTACCCACTGCTAGAAAGTAAAAATTCAAAAATTCAGAAATGTCTAATTGCAATTAAAGACAATTATTATTACCCAGAGACAACAAAACGTGGGAATATGAAATCAACCTATTCTACAGTGTTAAGTTTATTAAAAAGTAGAAAAACAATAAACAAGTGTAACTTGAGAAAAAGTTGCTGATTTGTATACAATAACAGCAACAAATCCAAGCCTGAATTCCGATCTTTAAAGGCTATCATTTCGTTTTCATTTGTATGCCATATCTACACTAAATTATTAAATTTATTTAAATATAAGTAATCTTTAGGAAAAAAGTTGAAGTTGATTTTACTTTAAAAGGCCACATCATCCAGTTTCCGGACTGTCTAGCTGACTTTGGCTACCTTGATGGTCTGCCTCTCGGTGCTGTCACTGACACGGGGGTGTATAAATTAACCGGAGACTTAAATGAAAAACGCAAATCTTCCAAAACTATACAAAACCAACGTTAGACGTGTTATATTCTTATTTCATTATTTTCTATTGACGAAATATATGCCAAACCACCATGACTATCCCACTTATCCCGTAACCTCTATGTATACGTTTCATCACGCCCCCTAACGCAGGACACAATGGTATGTCCCAAACACTCCGGTCCCGCCTCTTCACGACTTCTGGCCAATCACAGAAAAACAGCGTGGCGATGGAAGGCGGATTCACTGCGTTCACATTTGACAGCCGACAGCTTGTTTACCTACTTTCGGACCTCGTTCCATATCTTTATTAAAAAAGTATTTATTCGTTGGGTTTGTTCATGACATAAAAATATACATATATAATATATATAAAAATTTGATTTTGACTTGATCACAAATTTAACTCCAACTTACTACTGAAAAATGTTTTTGACTTACAAGGCGTATTTTAACTACAGTAATCTCTAACTTTACAACTAATTCTTCTTCCACAGGATTATGAGAAGTGAATATATTGTTCCACAAGGCGCTTTTAAATTGACCAAAACAGTCAAAAGAAATGAGAACACCTTCATAGAGACGTTGACCTCGTCCTGTGCTGCCTTTGAATGTTGCTATAAAATATAAGAATTAAAACAGAGCACTCAAGAATGAGCCAGGAATCAGATTCATGCTGTAGACTCAAACTTTATCAATTTATCCAAGACTTAAAGAACCACTGAGCAACTTCTTTGGCCAAATAATAGTAATAAATACCTTTGTTAAAATATTAATATTTTATTTGTCATTGGGTATTTGAGCCAATAAAAGTCCATGTGAACTAAAATGTGTTTAAACAGCTGTTTCAGAGGGTGAGGAGGAGCTAATAAGATCTGTGATTAACAATAATTATCGACCTAAAATGATGCAGTACGGCGACTTCGTTTTCTGTCAGGAGTGCCACACAAATAATTATTATTTTAAAAACGAAAATTATTATTTGCAATTCATCACTTTTTCCATTAACAGACCCAACACTGAATATCAGTGATTAGAATTCCTTAATTATTGTACTTTAAATAATACAATATGGGTTTCATCACAACAGTAAATGTCGCATTGTGATCTCCATCTAACCTGCAGGTTTTTTTATGCTGAGACTTCATTCAAATTTAAAGAAAATCCAAAGTCAGGATGTGTTTGAAGGAGCGACTGGTGACCCGGTTCTCCATTTTCTTTTGTCCAGGAGGTGGTTTGAGGTTAAAGGTCAGGGGTTCCAGCGCAGGTCACAGATCAGAGCGATGTGATCGGAGGGATGAGCGACGCTGGGAAGAGCCTCGTAGGTGGTGACCTCCTGGTGGCTGGGCAGAGGGATCACCTGCTCCACCTGGACACACACACACACACACACACACACACACACACACACA